TGAAAACACAATGATATTAGTAAGAGCAAACTAGATACTACTCTATTCTAAGAACACAAGATTTAAAAAATGTTTTTATCATTGGAATAAAATCAGTCCTATTTTATTCTGTCAGTTATCACATATGCTGTGCAGTCATTGAAGCTCCACTGTGCATACAGAATCCTGTCTCCTTGCATCCAAATACTGCACTTGAAGAACTAGATAGGGCTTGATTAGTCTGATATTCATCATCCACATAAAGGCAGTAAATATTTTGGTTGCATGATGTCTGACTCTAAAGGCAGCCTCCACTCTAGTCCTTTCCATCTACCCAAAAGAAAACGCTAACCACTCAGGCACTGCTTCCAAACACCACTTCACCTAATTATTTGGCAAAGCCAAAAAACTACTTTGGAGATAGGAAGGCAGAAGAGCCAAAGTGGATTGGATCGTTATCTGAGCAAAAGTAAATTCAGATTTGGCAGAATATCTCTTTAGAGTAAGGGGTGGAGATGACAAGCAATGGCTCAAAAACCATTTGGCAAATGAAAGAGAGGACAGAATAAATGTGTATGATGTTCAGACATCAATCACTGAGTCATTCTTTCTCCTCAGCCGTGAATGATTTGTCATTTACTAAAATTGTTTCCTTTGTATGGTTCCTTAATTTGTTATTATCTAATCTTTTAGCATGATACTATGCTGATGCAGTTTTGGCTCAGGTGTAGAAAATATTTGGGTCCCAGCCTTTCTGGTCTGCATGCACAACTGAGATTCCACGAGCACAGGGCTCATGTATAGATTATTGATCTGCCAGGTGCAGAGGAGCAGAAGTTATGAAAACTATGAAATATCTTGCAATGTGACATTACACAACATGAATTAGATAACACTTAGTTCCTGTTTCACTTGTGCCACAAACACCTTGTACCACATCAGTGAAAAAACAGACCAGTTAGGATGATGATGTGCTGAAAGCTTATCTTGAGAGCAGGAGAAACGTGTGTTTCGAAGATGGGGCTGCCAAATGAGTGGTCCTGTTTACAACGTGTTCAATTCAATTCACTTTAATTTGTATCACGCCAAATCATAATATATGTATATATTATCTCAAGGCACTTAACATAGAAGGTCAAGACATATGAGTCAGTTGGATAGATGTGGGGCTTTGGAAACACTATATATTAAATGTTCTGTGTGATGGAGGATGTTTACATTGCTGAGTCTGAATGTTGTATGATAGATTGTCAATAAAGATAAAGTCCTGCTTATTTTTCCATTGACATTATTGTTGATGTGACTGTTAAGTTTAGGGGCACTTACAGGCATGTATGGGCATAAGAGTCTCCTGGTTGTGTGCACATGGTTCCTTTAATTAAATAAAAAACTCAAATATGCAGGACAATTAATTAGGGATTTGCGAAGGAGGATTTATGTTGGAAAACAGTCACCAAGCCTAAAATACTGTTGAGCTCTCCACAAATGAGAGCTGGAGCTAACACTTTGTGAAACACGATGAAACAGAACAATCATATTACTTTGGGATTCTGTCTCAGTGTTAAAGAGACTATGGTGCAGTTTTCTGAATTCCTCAGTTTTATACATCTGACTGACTTTTCTCATTGCAGCTGAGGCTCATGGGTATTTCATTTTAGTTTGTTGGTCATACAAACTGGCCTCTTATGTTTCAGGTATTCGGGAGTTCCAATTGTTTGTATGTTAAAGACTTTTAAGGATATTATTAAAACTTTCGAAGTTAAGAACCAGCACGACTTCTCTCAAAGTCTTTCCTAGATTGGTCTCAAAAACATTCTACGTTAGAGTAACATTAAATATTGACAATATTTCAATCCCAAGCCTACTTAGCTTGGATGATTACTGAGATACAGCAATGTCACACAAGTTCATCACAGTACTCCAATTAATTACAATATAACCTTTCCCTATAAGATGATGAACAGGATCTTGTGAATGTTGATGTTTTTCTCCAGGTGTATTCTGACTTGGACCTCAGCAATTACAGAATTACAAAAGTGATTTATTACCATGCTGATTAAAATTTTGTCAATCTTGCATTGTTTGTTCTCTTCATGACATGAGTCAATTGATTGAAAACCAACATACCCAGAGGCAGCTAGAAGGATGTTGCAACCAAAGCAAAATTCACAAAATATAAAAAAAAAATTGCATGTGTTTTATTGGGGTGGAGAAGCATTTCTGAACATCAGGGATAGAGGGAACATTTGGTGAGAGGCTTATGCCTTCACCATCACATAACTGCTTCAAATGTAAAAATTATTTTAAGTTAAAATCTCAGCCAACATGGATATTCCACCATGAAACCTCTTTGGGTTTGCCAATTCTGTCTTCAAGGACTAGGCTAAAATAGCCTCTCAAGTTTCTCAGTAGGCTTTTAGCCGCCATTATTATCAGCAGTATTGATTCTGTTGCCCTGAGCAACAGATGGACGCAGCCTAAGGGGACAGGAGGTTCTGGCCAGTCTGTCATTCACCTCTTGAGAATTTAATATATTGTAAATCATGAACAATTGTGTATTTGTCTAATCAGTACAAGGTAATG